ACGCGGCTATAGCTTGCAAGCTACTGCTTGCTAAGGCTGTGGTTAGGCCGTCCTAACAGATAAGACGTCCATAATAAAGTGGACCCCCAACTCAGAAAGACGGGTTTACTCCTTATCCTTGTTGCCGGCAGCCTAGAGCTCATGGGTGGTGGAAATGAGAACAGCATTCAGCGAAACTTAGAAACCAGTGGTAGTAATGCCATCAGGGTCCCGAGATCGGAAGTTTAACGCATCCACTAAAAAGTCCGCTGACGGCACTAAGACATGACGCCCACGAAACGTTGTTATCGTCTTGGAAGTTCCCATCACTCTCAATGTTCTACAGTAGAGACTATAAAGAACCCACACAAAGACACACACTTCAAGCGGCTCCGAATCTAAATCCCCATCATTCTATGAATATCTGAAGGTCTTATTACCGTTACTGTTACGGTATCCGCGGGAAAGTGCAAGCTCTGTAGCGGTACATGCAAATAGTATGAGAGCTGGACTACTCAATCGGGAACTGAAAGTAGTATTGAATGCTGAAATGTGCCCGAGGTCTAAGAGCGCGCGAGTGTTATCGGTGCAGCGTAGACGCCTGCTTCCTGTGCGAAATTCTAAGGCGAAGGTTAGTCGCAAATTCGCAGGCTACCACAGCAGTCCATGCGTTTCCTGTGTGGGAACTAGTGTCAAAGGTTGGAAAATCTGTGTACATTCGATCGCGATCGAATCTTCTTCTGAATTGCTTCCTGGGACTTGTATGTTCGCTTGTATTGGCAATCTGCGTACAGCTAATGAGGAATTTCACGAACACTTCTATTAACGCCTCAGCATAAAGTGAAGACCAGTAGGGCAGTGAAACCTCATATTCCTAGTTGTGAGCACTAACTGAGAGTGAATGGTCGGTCTGGACCAGGCGAACCTTCAAACCACCAACCCATTGGACACTCCAGATGTGACAATGACAGAGTAATATTGAGTTTCATTTAGCAGAGCCCTTTTGTCATTAGAAGTGCTTCCTGAATCGCCGCAGACAGCCACTTAACTGGGGCCTAGACAGATTGAAGACACTTGGCTGTGTACACGAATGTAGATAGAGACTTCGTGCCGAAACCATCAAGGCATAAAGGATCATATCCTTCACTGTCCAAAATGCCAAAATTCGGACTTAAATAAAGGCGTGACAGATGTCTTGACGCTATCAAACTACAACGAAATAGCAAGGCCGAGGCACTAAACACATAAATGAGGTCTCACTTTGCAATCCTAGTTGAGGGGGTAGAACGTAACGAACAGTTACTATGTATTCCTTCCATCTTCGAATAGGGCAGCAAAATACTTGAGTTCGCTTCATAACAGTCCACTCAGACAGTTCCAGTTGGATTTTTCCACGACTTTTCTTTCCACCAACTCTGGAAGGTTACGGTGAGGTCGGATAGACACGACCGTAAAAGTACTTAAACAAAGGTATCAGTTCCATGCAACGAGCTCCGAGTTTCGACGCAATCTACTAAATCACTGGCCGAGCTACAAGCACGTTCCCTGCGTTGTGTGACACTGTTTGCGAAGTAAAGTGTGACTTTTTGCTGACCGTGTTGACAAATAACCGATGAACACCCCCCTCTACCTCTACCTAAGTGATCTCCGATCAAAATAAAGAGGCTTTTCAACAAGAGAGGATGATATGCCCGCCAATAATCCATTAGTTTTGTGTCAACTCTCTAGCGGCCTGACTGTGCGAGATTATAAAAGAAGTTTGGGCAGGTGACATCGTCCCGGATAACTAAATTCCGAAGCGTCATAACTGTCGCGACGTAAGTCAACATTGACATAAAGGTTTTTTGAACCGTCATCTAAGGATAGGTTCGAAGGGATCTAGGCCAGAGGTCAAGACAACACCAAGCTAACTTCCTAGCTGTAGTTGGATACATCAGGTAATTATTCACACTACGGAGCTGTTTCGGAATCTTTTATACCTACAAGCTACAGACGGTCACTTAGGTTAGTGATTTCAATTCAGCGTTCGATGCTGTCCATTGCGAATCTACGCAATGGATAATAGAACTAAATGGTGTCCCTAAGACATGTCGCCGTGGTCAAGATCTACTACCATTTTGCTTCACTGAAACTTTCAGTCTAAAACAGTCGGTTTCAAATGTCAGATATTTCTTTCTAAAAAAACTACATCTTATGGTCCATCATGTGTAAATACGTCGTTCACGTGCTATGTGACAAGGTTTTATGCGGCTCCGAGCGTCTAAGTTGCAACCAAATCAACCAAACGCCGCTTGCAGTTTTTGAAAACCTACAAGGGTGCCTACAGACTAGTTGCGATCAGCATTTGCGGATATCCGTTCGATCAGTATTAGTGTATGGCTACGACTGACAGGCTGTATGTTGACGGAAAACGTTCATTTGAAAGAAACAGTAACCTCACTTCAAAAGAACTAGACTATACAACTGTGAAGATAGCTCAGATCAACCTGGAGAGTCAGCTGCGGTAGTTACGGAAGGCGATACGTCATCCTTCCCACAAATTCAGTGTTGCTACCCTAACACTGGAGGCGATGAATGGTTAACTACAAAACTTCTTGAATAAAGTCCATAAAACGCCGACTGTTTTTGGACCAGTGGTATTGGGTTCTTATGGACGGAAACGAGTACTTAGATTTTACTACATCGGCCGCATCAATAGCAAATAATGGTAAGGAGTATATGTGCATGATCAAATTTGCAACACTTGAAAGTGACAATTAGAGGAGGGCTGTACCTAAGTGTCAAGATGGCAACTTCCGAAAAATGCTGGCGAATAAAGGTAACACTAACAGAATCCTAATTGAGGATGTAATCGAAAATTGAGTTGTCAACAGGGGTGAGTGGACGGCAGCGGTTTACGATACTATAAGCCTACACGGGGAAGTACTCATAGGAACAAAGACTGGACTAATAGTATAAGTAATTATAAAAATGAACAGGAAATAATTAGACTGGGATAATGGACTGTGGCTACACGGTCTCTATCAATGAAATCATGTTATGGAATAGTAGAAGTATGAAATTTACACGGTCAAAATGTGCTATTTCTTAAAATGAGAAACACGATAAGGTGATTTGAAGAAAATGTTCTTTGAGATAACAAGTAGCTGTAATGAGTG